CAATGAACAACGCTTGTTATTAAATGTAATTAAAATAAATTATTCTACATGGAGTGGGGTCGCCCCCTCATGGGGGCCACCATGTTGAGATCACATGACCAACAATGTCATGGAATTTTCTTTCATGTTGCAATTTACACTCAAATTAGTATTAATCATGATAGCAAAAAATCTGAATATAGTGCTTGAAGTTGCAACCAATGCGTAATGCACTCTACAAAATGCACACACACACGCAAAGCAAATGAAATAAAATACTAATAAGACAGCAAGGAGAGAGTTTGCACTTTGCAGCAGGCCAGTGTATTACATCCTAATGGTAAAGAATGTGTCACCCAGTGTGGGTGCTGAAAGGATTGTTGGAAGCATGTTTAATGTATGCGATTTGCATTGAAATCCACTATTAAGCCCTAATCATCTTTTACCATTTTAATGTAGGCTAATGTTTAACTGTTGGCTTGTTTAAGGTGTGGTTCCTGCCGATATGACCCAACTTCCTGAATATAGCTTTGTCATATTTCATTATTAATCATCAACTCAGTATTTTGTAGTCGAAAAACCACTGGTTGTTTAAAAGCCAAGTACAGTTTCTACACCTATTCATGCAATGCGTGGTTTGATTTGGTGCATTAAAAGACCAGATGAGAAGATTGTTTTGACCTGAACTGTTTATAATGCATTTCCTGCATGGATGCAAGTACATACACTTCCTACATAATGTTCTCACATGACCACTTGACTTTTTTAGGAAGTAGTGTAAAGATGCATTCCAATTTTATTGCTATTAGCCTGTGAATGATTATTTTTTGAACACTTCATTTCATTAGACTGTGTGTTGTGCATCTTTTGTAGTTTGTTCTCTTTGAATCTTGAGCAAAATCTGAATAATGTTTGCGGTGACTTGACAAATGCAAATGAGACAGCAGCTCAGTTCAGTTATTTAACAAACGAGCAGTGCCAGGAAAGAGAAGCACAGTTACTTACTGCCCGACCTTGACCGTCTTCCTTGTTTCTCAGGTCAAGTCTCAGCAGGCCGAGGTGATGCGTATTCTGGAAAGTAAGAGCATCAAGTATGAGCTGATTGACATCTCGGTGGGCGGTGCTGTTCGGGATGAGATGAGGAGTAAATCGGGCAACCCCACGGCAATCCCACCTCAGATATTCAATGAAGACCAGTACTGTGGGGTAAGGAGGACTGACAGCAGGGCGTTTTTGATTTGAACTTAAAACTTTAAAGCAACAGTTGCCTAAAAAAAATGAAAATTCACCCTCATGTCATTACAATCCCTCATGACTGACTTTCCTCTGTTGAACTGAGCTGCGTTTTTGAACAATATCCTTTTCAATTTCGTCCCATGTTATAAAAGTAAATGGGAACGGTCCCAAAACAAACCCATGATAGTACCATAAAATTAGACCCATACTAGACTTTCAAAACCATTTGATTGTTTGTGGAACTAACAGACCAAAATTATGTCATTATCTACTCAAATTCTTGCCTTCAAGCAGACGTTCTGAAGCCCCCCTGCAATGATCTGAAGGACTCACCCCCGGAATACGATTTTAAACGCGGACAGCAATCTAAACCGAACACGGTTTTGAGCGAGGCATACCCCTCGGATCTGATTTGTGCCACCTCGGATTCAATTTGACCCCCTCCAACTCCACGAAATGCATTGATTTTAACCATTCAATGCGAACGATCGCCGATGTGTTTAGAGCATTCACTGCTAAAATCAAACGTGCTTTCGCGCTTTATCGCTCAGTGCTTTTCATAGCCTATATCACAACAGTTCAGTGTTTTAAACCACATAAAATGTGTTTTATGTTTCAGATGTTTCAATTAATTAAAAGCAAAAAAAAA